GGGCCCGGTGGCGTGTGGCATAGCGGCTGATGTAGCTGTGCAGAGGCGCTTTGCAAAAGAGGTTTTGTGTAATTGGTTTGATGGGCGTTATATTTGTTAGCAGTGAGGTTTTGATCTCGTGGTATCAGCTCAGTCGTGACGTGGGGCGTAGCTGCAACTAGTGCTAGGCTTTGCTTCCCCTTGGAGACTCTTGTGCTAAACTACATTTGTTACAATAGCAAGAGAACTGAGCTGAGGTTAGGCTGATCAAGCTTCTGGGAAGGTTGTTTCTTGTTACAGGACAGTAATTAATCTGTTCCTGCAGGGCCCTGGAGCTGTTACGGCTTTATCTGGTACGACAGTGTGGTAGAGAGTGTCCTTATCGGTGGTAACTGTATTGCCGCGTTACATCTCTGCAGTAGCCTCTGATTCTCCATCACTTTCACAGAGTGTTGCATTTTGAGATTGGTCTGGTCTTTTAAAGTAGCTTTCCTCTCATCTAGTGACACTTTGTCTGCAAACAGGAGCCCAGGCATTTCCGAGAGAAATCACTTTCTCCCAGGGAGCACTCAGAGTGAAATTGGCAGCAAAGCAGAGTTGGTTTCACTTGCTTTCCAGCCACAACTTGATCAAAACCAGGAATTGTAGTCACTTAATGTTCTCAAGGCTCAATCTTCAGGCAGCTGCAGCTACTATTTGAATTTATTTCAGGCATATACATTTTCTTCACATAGGTACAATGGTCATTACATTTCCTGTAGTCAAATGTATTGATTTGCCGAGTGGGCAGGCATTATTTTTTTGATACTGGCAATGAAACCTGGAAAAACTGCTTAACAGACTTTTCCCCAAGTCAGACCTAGGTCCGCAGGGAAGCAGGTATTAGTCTCAGGCAGACGTTTCCATGTGAAGAAAGATGATCCTTTTGGTTTCTTTGCCCAGCTGTGCTTCCCTTCTGTGCTTCAGATCGTAGAAGAACATGTTCCTCTAACTTGTCCTAGCAGTAAACCTCAAGGATCTTGGGGTGCTGTCATGATGATTGCTTTCTGTGGGCTTGGGCAATCAAGTTTGCTTAGTGCTTGATAAAAAAATTGAGAAATAGAACTGAAAGTAAAGAAAGTGTGGTGAAATCCCCAAGGTCACTGCCGCAGCAACTACCAAAATATCTCTTCAATGTGTTTGTCTTTTTTTTTTTTTTTTTTTTTTCCTCAGAAAAATGCAAAGGTAGCAGTGCTGGGGGCCTCGGGAGGCATTGGCCAGCCCCTCTCCCTTCTCCTGAAGAACAGCCCGCTGGTGAGCAGGCTCAGCCTGTACGATATCGCTCACACTCCAGGTGTTGCAGCTGACCTCAGCCACATCGAGACAAGAGCGAATGTTAAAGGTACTGCAGGGCGCTGGAAATGATCTGTGCTCTGGAGGGGTCCTCTCAGGTGTTGCTGATGCTTGGAGATGCCTGTTGCTTGTGAAGGGGAATCTGCACGAACCTGAAGCCCAGTGTCAGTTTAAGCAGCTTTTTCTCCAGCAGTGTGTGGCTGATTAAGGTTTAGCTGATTAGATTGTTATGTACGGAGGTGAGAATGGTTCGTGGTTGTTCTGTTGAAGGGGACTTCATAATAACTGGCAGGAAACATTCAGTAAAATCATCTTGGGAAAAAAGCCTGAGCATTGAATTTAGAAGTTTGACCACAGATAGACTGAACACTCCCTCGCTGTCTACATGAATTCTACGTGCTGCTTTTCTGAAGGGACTGCTGTCAAGTTCTGATGAAATCAACAAAAACTTAATCTGCTGATCTTCCTTTTCTTTGAAGATTACTAAAAGGTTACATTTTACTTGAATGTGTCCTTGTGCGGTTCTTTGGAGGCACTGACTGTAGTGCCAAGCTAGGGTTTTTGGAGAGTAAATGTGCAGAACGGGAGAAACTGAGGGTTTTCGAAGCAGATAAATGTGAGGCTTCCGTCACTCTCTTTTTGAAACAAGGAAAACAACATCAAATACAGTCCGTCCATAGTTGTAGTTGTTTGCTTTTCAGTCTGAATTGAAGGCTAAAATAACAAAAGGAATTGGGTGCCTCTAGGCATAATTTTGTACTTCAAATTGTCAGATAATTGATAACTGTCAAAAACCTGATGCCTGAATGTCGTCCGTTTCAGGCTTCCTGGGACCTGAGCAGTTGCCAGAATGTCTGAAGGGCTGTGACGTTGTAGTTATTCCTGCGGGAGTCCCTAGGAAACCAGGTATGTTCTCTTTGTTAGAAAGCCCCAGGGCTCCATTGGAGTGTCTCTGTGCAATACTGTTACTCAAGTAGATCTGTGTCTGCTGCTTTACGGTGCTCGTCATTGCTGGCATGGGATGAAGTCAGGCACCTCATTTAGCCTCTGTCTTCGACTGTCCCTTGTAAAATGGGCAGGATTGATTTCTGGAGTTGCTGTGGAGGGCTGAGGTGCAAAGGTTTTTCATGCAAGTGATCCTGAATCTCCCTTAGTGTGTCTTGCCCAGAGCAATGCTCTAGTAAAAAAAAAAAAGTTTCTTTGTTTCCTGTCTCAGCAGAATAGAAATAATCCATTTGTTTTGCATTAATTTTATGATAACTTTCAGAGCATCTCTGAGTGAATGCTGTTAAGCCTTCCTAGTGTGTCTCTGAACTGCTCCATTTCTACTCTGCTTTTCAGGAATGTCACAAAACTCTAGACTTGAATGCCTAGCTCTTCCTACCTCTGCATTTTTCATGGTCGAAGTAGTTGCTGCAACAGAAATGGGAGGTGCCACTTATGCAGTGTTTTGCACAGAGCAGTTGGTATTCAAACTGTAGCTGTGGAGGTGACTGCAGAGGGGGCGGAGAATTTATCTTGGGAGCAGCGATGCTGCTGCGAGCACCACTGATATACTGGTGTGGGTCACTACGGTCACACCGTACCTCAAGCAGAGTAGTTGAAATACCTTCTGACAACTAACAGCTGGGCTGGCTGCTCCTGAAAGGGCTGGTCTGTCTGAAAGGGCAGAAATCTGTTAGTGAGAGGGGTTACCTTTGGAGCCAATTCATTACTGCAGCTGGAGAGTTTCCTCTTGATATATGAAACCAGAAGCTGATGTATCTCTATCCAGAGCAGAGTATTGTTTACTGATTGAGTTGGTTGCCCATTAATGAGTAGACTGTGGGTAACTTAAAATATTTTGCTGGATGTGTTTTAGGTATGACCCGGGATGACCTGTTCAACACCAATGCTAGCATTGTTGCTACTTTGACATCTGCCTGTGCAAAGCATTGTCCGGAAGCCATGATCTGTATTATTTCTAACCCGGTAAGCATTTTTTGGAAACCTTGAAAATGTAGAGGAAAAAAGAAAATCCAGGCTGAGAATACTAGAGTAAGCTGAATTACTATTAGTTTTGATCAATATCTCTAAGGTCTGCAGCGTATTTGCAGAAAAGAACTAAAAGCCTGGTTCTACTAACGCATTTTTCTTGGGCTGTATTGAAGTCAGAGGAAACTTGGATATGAAAGTGCTTAGTGTCACAACATCTGTGTGACTGTGATTATAAGACGTGCTGGTGTATTGCCTGGAATAGAAGTCTTAGCTCACTGAGGGAGGAGCCCTTGTCAAGCCAGTGGACAAATTTGTTGTCTTAATGGTTATTTAAAATGGAAGATTTTTATTCCAGCCTGACTGTCAATTGCTATTCAGTTTCAGAATTAAAGTAATTGGCTACAGTTGACTGTACAGTAGGAAGTATAATTCAGGTTGTTTACTGGCCTGTTCAGTTCATGCATTGCCTTCATTACTATGCTGGTTTTAATGAATGCTTGCCTATTCTTGCTTGTAGGTAAATTCAACCATCCCAATAACTTCGGAAGTCTTCAAGAAGCATGGTGTGTATAATCCCAACAGAATCTTTGGCGTTACAACGCTGGACATTGTCAGAGCGAATACTTTTGTGGCAGAACTAAAGGTAGGTCATAGTAACAGATTCTGGGGGAAGGATGTGGTGTTCTTTGGCCCTCAGATCTGTCAAAAATGCTTTTAAAATCACTGTACAGAGGCAGAAGAGCTCAGATTTCTGTGGAGCTAGAGGTGAAGGCAATGATGCCTTGTTTTCATTCTCTAGAGGAGCCTGGGGATAGGGTTTCTTGCAAAATGTGGTTCAAGAGACTTTGACCTTTCCTTTTTACAGCTGTCCCCTGTGAGCGAGCTACATGTTCGCCTTAATTCCGTTGGCATTTTCAACCCTGCCAGTGCAGCCGGAGGAGAGGGTTGAATTGTAGCCTGTATTTGCAAGTCAAACTGTCTGCGCTGCGTGTTACAGGATATCCTGCAAAGTATCAGGAGGTGTAACAGGTTATTGCTCTTAATGACCCTGGTGGAGTTTGTACTTGTGCTGCTATTTATCTGAACTTGCATTAATAATATCCTGTAACTGTCTGAAGTTATCAGAGGAGCCTGGAGTTCAACTCTGTGGATCTGGCTTTGTCCCTGGAGTATGGCTGCCTCTGAAACCCCTGCCTTGTGCAGTGCTGGGTTATAGATGTGTCCGAATACTCAGGACAGGAAACAAAGCGTGGTGTTCTTAAATGTTTCTCTTGTCCATATGCTGCAGAAGCTGGAAAGTTTCATGTTTCCTTTAGGGCTTAGATCCAGCTCGAGTAAGTGTTCCAGTTATTGGCGGCCACGCCGGGAAGACTATCATCCCTCTGATCTCGCAGGTAAGTCGCAGTAACTGCCGTGTGTGGGATTCCTTATCAATACGTTAGAGTTGATGTGAAGTGCCTTTGTGATGGCATGCAAGGTGCTAAAATGCAGCAGAGACAGTCTTCCCTTCGCTGGTGGCTGCTTACTTTCTGGGATGAGGTACAAGATGCTGGAAGGCAATGAGCTAAATCTAAACTCCTCTGGGTGATTTAAATAGTTCCCGTCTTTCTCCTCTGAGGGAGCTGAAGGTTAAGAACTGAGGTGCGGTGTGGGTGTTCAGATGTTTTGGCACTGTTTATTTTGTTGTGGGTTATTTGTTTGTGACAGGTATTTCATGATACTGAATACCTTGCTTCAGCAGGAAAATGAAATTGGTTTGCTTTGGTGGACTAGAAACACCTCTTCAACACGCAGCATTGAACTGAGGAGACATAGCTCAAGCTGCGTGGGGAGGCCTGCTTCAGTAATGACTGGTGGTCAGGGAGAGGCTCCTTCACGCATCGAAGCCAGAATGAAATTCAGTTCAAAAGCAGGCTGCAGCTTCGTGAGGAGATGGCTAGGACACAACCAAGGAGCAATCTGCAAGAAGAGGGGGGAAAAACTTTGCTCTAAGCGGGGAATAAAGTATCCTTCACAGAAGGTTGTTCTTGGGGAGTAAGAGCAAGGGCTTTGGAGCAGCTGTATGCTGAGAGGGTGCTTTCATTAGACATTCAGTTGGGACAGGCACAGCTGCACTTAATGTACTTGCGTAGCTGTATCTGAAGATTCAGTAACTTCCTAAATCCCGCTGGCAGACTGGATCCTTCGTAAGGCTCTTGACTTCCATAATGCCGCAGTGACCCAGATATTTACAAGGTGGCCTTTTGAAGTTCCTAAGGCCTGTTGCATGCTTGGAGGGCATCTGTCTAGTGCAAAGGTGTACCCAGTAGCAAGGAACCATGGCAAGCCCTGGTTTTGCTGTCAAGCTGTGGTTTGCCCTTGAGCAAGCTGGGCACAGCTGGGTTCCTGTGACAGTCCATGCAGTAACCAGCAGCCTTGGTGAATGCTTGCAGCCGTTCAGCTTGTCACACAATCTGTGAGCTGGGGTGACTGATTTTCCCCATTGAGAACTGTTGGTAACAACTGTAGTGGTACAAAAAGCACCGTATGGGTGGTCTTATGCTGAATCTGGAGGGGTCCTGGTGTTTGATACTAGCTTCTCTTTTCCAATCTAGTGCACACCAAAAGTGGACTTTCCTCAGGATCAGCTGGAGAAGCTTACAGGGAGAATTCAAGAAGCTGGCACTGAAGTTGTCAAAGCTAAAGCAGGAGCAGGTTGGTTCTTTACTGCAGCTTCCAAGTAATTCTTGTTGGCCGGCTGAATGGGTGCAGTCCTCTTCAGTTTAATCTTTATCTACAACCATGGTGCAGAGTCACGAAGTGCTGATTACAAATCTAGCTGCGCTGCCATGTAAGTGACTGCCTGAACTGTGGTACTGGAAGCAGCGCAGTGTGTAGGTAAGACTAAACACCAGCTGATCCCACGCTGTGTATGGCTTTAAAGAGAATCCTCTCTGTCAAATTAAGCTGTTTTCTTTTTACAAATCCAGTCAACTAAACAGCAAGTGGCTGGCCAGAAGCTGCTGCTGTATCAAACTGGCTGTGAGCTTGAAGTTGGTGACACTGCAGCTGTCAGCATATCGGTGTGGAAGCCTTTGATGCTAAAGAAAGTACCAAATTTCATTGTGATCTGTTCTAAAAGGATTTAACTTTTACAGGATCTGCCACCTTGTCTATGGCCTATGCTGGCGCTCGGTTTGTGTTCTCTCTGGTGGATGCGATGAATGGAAAGGAAGGGGTTGTTGAATGTGCCTTTGTTCGATCGGAAGAGACGGAGAGCCCGTACTTCTCTACGCCTCTGCTGCTGGGAGTACGTACTTTAGATGATGGGGCTTATAAAGAGCAGCTAGTGATTTAGTCTTGTGGTTTTACGGAGTGATTTCAGTTTAGTCTAATGCTAGGTATCGCTAAGTTAACAGCTGAGCGTACCTTTAAGAGTTCTTGACTATTTGGGTATTGTACTTAGCCATATACCTCACGCTTGACAGGAATGATGCTGCTTGTCTCTGCCCTTAGACCAGCAGCTCACTGGGTGACCAGAGATTCAGACTCGTCTTAAGAGGTCATGCTTGCCTCAAGTCAGTGCCTGTTTATGGAGGGCTTCCATATGGTTAACCAGGGTCAGCAGTCCCATCTCCTCAGCTTGATCTGCTACAAGCAAATCCCTCAGAAATTGAGGCACATGGGGAACCACAGCATGGATTAGGATTAACAGATCACTTTCAGGACCTCTACTGAACTCTGAAGGAAGTGTTCCTTTTGTTGCTTACCCTGTGGGTGGAGTAGAAAACAAGGGTGCTGGAGCCCTGTCGTGGCTGCTGGGATGCAAAGGATGGTGTGTGCTGTCGGGGGTGTTAGCTGATGAGGGAAGGGGAAGTAGAGAGGTATTGAGGGGGATGGGTTTGAATGTAGGCATGAGATCTCGAAAACCTAGGAGGGCGACTCTGAAGCAGTTTCAGATTGCAAGCCAGTGGCAAGCAAAAGGCATACAGCAGAGGAGAGAAATTCTCTTGCCAAACGGTGGGTTTGAAGATAGGAAGAGGTGTGAAGGAGCAGTTGGGCTCAGTCTCCTCTTGAAGGAGCCAATGGTCTAGTTTCAAGTTTCGCACTGTGAACAGTGAATGCGAAGTTTGTGGAGGCTGTAGAAGTTGCTACAGAGAGTAAGAGGCTTCCGAGCCTTGTCATGGAGCATGAGGTTGGCAGACAGGAGGTCCCAGGCTGGGTCTCCGTCTCAGCTGGATAAGATTTAATCAGAACTGTTTACTCTGGGCCATTCGATGAATGGTTAATCCTTAAATCCTCTTTCCCGCAGAAAAATGGAATTGAGAAGAACCTAGGTTTTGGCAAGATCTCCCCCTTTGAAGAGAAGATGGTTGCTGAGGCCATGGCTGAGCTGAAGGCTTCAATTAAGAAAGGAGAGGAGTTTGCGAAGAACTTCAAGTGAAGAGTTGATGACGGAGAGGAATTAACAACTTCCTTAATTTATTAAGGCATCATGTCACTTTACGACTTCTGTTTCAAAGCTCATGCTTTGGTTGAAGTCTGTCTGTATTAGCTTAATGATTGTTGCCAGTGCAGAGTCTAATCATCAATAAAAAGGCCTCATTTTTTCAGTGTACCATGTGGAATTGTCCTGATGTGCTTATCTTTCGAAGGTAGAAGCTGCAGGTCTCCAAGGTTGTCGGTTTCTGTGGTGATGAAACAGTCTCTGAAAGTGGGTGAACCGCTTTCTCTCAGCTCTGCTGCTGCTTGGGTTTTGGCTTGGGCTGCTTGTTCAGCGCAGCGGCTGGGAAACCGGGCGTGATCAAGTAAAATCAAGATGGGGTGAAGAGGCTGGCGAAACAGGTAACTGGGTGAAGTGATCCAAGAGGCGGTTTTTCAGGAGGTGACGTTGCCGCTCTTTGTTACCTTCTGTGGCCTTAATCTCTTTATATAATTCGATTTTTAAAAGAGTTGGTAAAGAGCACAGTGGTGGAAACATCAGTCCTGCTCTGAGAGGAGAACTAAAATGCTGAGAGTGACTCTTTTCTAGTTATGAACAAACCCCTTGATTTAGCATCTACATAAATTTCTTTTACATTCATCTTCTTGTGAATATAAAAATAAACGTCTGCAAGGAACTGGTGTTGACGAGTTCTGTGGCTGACTGCTTTGAAGGTAAGTGTTAATGAAGGAAGCGATTAATTCGCGCTTCCTCCGTGCTCTGTGGGCTGCTTACCCTATTGCTTTGAATTGCTTTAATTCACGTAGGTTGAATTCCAAGTTGAGCAGACTTTATTTTGATTAGATGAAGGAAATGCCAAAGCCCAGCACCTCTGGAGGAGTTGAGGGAAGTGTTGGTCTGAGCGACAGAACCTGGTGTAGAAGCTTCTCTTAAGGAAGAGGCCTAAAACCAGTAGATGCTGTTTGGTCACTGGCTGTTTTCCCTCACTGCTTGTATTCCAACTCTCTTCTGAGCTGGTTTTATTTTAATCTAGTTCATTCTGAACTGGATCACACAGTTGTGACGCTGAAGATGCCTGGAGAATCAAGTGCTTGGCTCTTTCCCTGCCCTGCGGATCATGTAGGCAGAGAGAGGACAGCAAGCACAGTTCTTGTCACTCCTCCCTGCAGAAATTCAATGTATTAAAGCTAGGTTTCTTTACAGAAATAGTAATGAAGCGTCGGCAGTCATTGCTCAGCAGGCTTGGAACAAAGTAATTATTAGGTGGTATTAATAGAATTAAAGAATTAAAAGATCGTGTGGGAGCAGGGCAGGGGAGGGTGTCAGAACTCGAGGACACGGAGGAGTGGTGACCGGCCAGGCCGATGGCGATGAAGCAGCTTGCTGGACCGAGGGGACTCGCAGGCCTGTCAGCAATTTTGTGTCCAGAAATGGGCAGTGCATGTTATCTAAAAACCATGGATCTATCCGCTAGAGCTAGTGGTCTGCACCCCGGGCGCGTGTGTGCCCGGGTGGTCGCGGGGAGCTTGCCTCACAAATAGCACGTGCTTGTTCTCGTCCCGCTGTTTTAAATACAGCAGGTAGAGCAGATTTCTGGGGGTTGGAGATTTTTAGAACTTGGGGTTCATAGTGTGGCTTAGGTTATTCTATCTTTTCCTTGTGTCAGCAGCCCAAATCCAGCGAAGTTTGGGGGAATTGCATGGACAAGCAGAAAGCTTTGCTTATACCAGCAGGGATTTGGGGACGGGATGGGTGAGTGGAGCTGAGGTGGAAGAGGATTGTTTCCCAGCACCTGCTGACTCATAGATTCTTCAGAGTCTCCTTCAAATCCCCGTCATGGTAACACTGTCTGTTCACTTTCTGCACTGTTTGGTTTTTGGGGTGGTTTTTCCCTGCCCTGTGCCATGCCTCATGCTTGGAGTTGCAGCCATTCCTTGCTCTCATTTTGGGAAGGGAGATAAGACAGCCTCCTTGCGGCTCTCTGCGGTGAAGGACCAGGAGGAGATTGGATGAAGGTGAGAAATGAAGTTGTGTCAGTGTCCTCTGCTTGGCCAAATGTGCCATCACCCTGGCCAAACACTGCTGTGCTGGATAACGTAATCGCTGCGAAGACTGAAGATGGTTTGCAGAGGTAAACGTGGGGCATCCCATCCCTTTTTTTGTCTCTGAACAGATTGCCCAGAGGAGGAAAGGAACCTGGACGTACCCCTCCTCGCGACAGGTAGGAATTAGCTGGGTGTACCTAGATAAGCTGATGCTCTGCCCTGGAAGTCGTTTCCTAGTGCTGTCTCTCTAACGAGAGACACGACCTTCATCCTCTGTCCCGCAGGCTGCTGCGGCGCGGCTGCCTTGCTGAGTCACGGCGCCCGCCCCCGGGCCGCCC